GACAGAGTGACTGGTAGTATAATGGGACACGATTGCAAACGTGAACACATATGGACAAAGTAAAGCCAAGAGTGTTTGCACGTGTGTCTATTGCTATTCTAAAAGCTGCTCTGAACTTTTCACCTTCTTACAACTAAACAAAAACAAAAACAAAACAGAACAGAAAATGCTGACATCGAAAGAAAAAAGTCCAAAGACTGTGAGAAAGCAGTTTAAAACAGATGTTAAGAACGCTTTACAACAGGGGTCTCAAATGGAAATTACCTGAGGTCTGCTGCTGCTGTCAATTCATTGGGGTTTTAATACAAACTAAATTAGCTACTGTCAATTCATTGGGGTTTTAATACAAAATAAATCATTCTTGAATGACTGACTAAAGTCTTTTATTGAAAATAACAAAAAATAAAACAACTGAAAATAAATATCTAAATTACCTTATGGAGAAATTAAATGAATATTGACATGTAGTTACGGGCCGAACGTGGGGGCTTCAGGGGCTGACAGTGGCCTCTGAGCCAGCAGTTTGACACCCCTGCCTTAGAATGGGAATTTCTAGGTTGACGTAAACAAGAGGAAGAAACTTAAAAGACACTATTTATGTTAGTGTTTTTCTTTTTTAAATACACGTCCATATAAACAAAATAGTGCATTAGCTTTATTTATGTGTGCCTTTGTAAAATCTACGTAATAGATGTGCGTTTTTAGAACCCCCGTGTGGCTTTAACTGCAAACGTCACACGCAGTTCATCCAGTTGTTAGACGAGGAGGAAACAATAACCGTGTCTGTGTCGAGCTGGACAGGAGGAGAGCTACAAAATAATAATTAGTTCCCAGGATAACCCCAGACTGTGGCGCTCATCATAGCATGTGATGATAACACTACGAGTGATGAGAGAAGGAAAACAACATGTCTTCTTTGCATTTCCCCGCGCTGCCTCCGCTGATGTTCCTTCATGATGAAAGCATCCCATAATCCCGTTGGAATGACAGTGGACAAAACATGGATAAGAGCAGGGAGGAAATTGCAGTACAAACAGCCTGATGAGTGTCAGAGACATGGCCCAATGAGTCTGGTCGGATCTGTGTTTGCACAGAACCAAAACATGCAGATTGAAGCTCAAAGCCTTTGTATTAGTGCACGTGAGTGCGTCCTGTGTGCCCTGTGCGCGTGCGCGCGCATTGAGCAACAGCCATAGGCTGGGCCGACGACTGTGAATGGAGCCAACAGGTGATTCAGGAAGAGACTTCTGCAGAACTGGATTCCCATGGGATTAGTGGTCAACTCTTCTCCCTCGGCCCGTTTCCTCTTATAGATCCCAGAGGTGTAATCAGAAATGCTTTGTACGAGACCTATTGTGGCTCCTGGACTGGTGGAATCTGACTCAAAATAAATGTGTGTGTTTTTCTCACACAGGTTAAGCAAGGCCCGCGGATTTGGGAATAATCTTTTTTTTCCTTTCAGAAAGCGTTTAATTGCGTCGGCTGGCAAGCCCAAACCAAATGGAATGCACTTATGAGCGATGTGTTCATGCAGGTCTTTTTTATAATGCGAACTGTATGTTTGCTTTCCTATTGCATCTAATTGGCTCAATAACACCGGCGTCATTAAGTTATCACACGGGTTCTTCAGGCAAAAATCACAGCAAAATGAACTTCTTTTAATCTTTCTCTGGAGGGAAATGAAAGGTGGAATAAAAACAGAACAGTTAAGAGGTATGAAAATTCTCTTCATACTTTGGCACGTTTTTCATTCTACTATAAACTGCGAAAAAAAGGCCTAAGACCTGCCTAAGAAGCCATGTCACTCACCTATGCCGACAAAGTGGTAACATCATAATCTAGGACATAAAAACTTCAGAAGAGTCTGATTGACGCCTGGGAGCCAAGATGAAGGGCAAGATGTTCCCAAAACAACAACACAAAAGAAGGTGAATGTAGCACAATTAAATGTACAACGTACAACCAGCGACTGTAAACGCTACACAACTGGTTCCCATACAAAATCTATTTAACGCCTTAGGCCGGGATGATGAATCAAACTATTATCATACTTCATGGTACTACCTGCAGCTGAATACGACTGATCTAACTCCATGACAGATTATGGTATGGTTTGTCATAATGAGCACATGGTAGAAAAATTCAGAGGAGGTCAGAAGTCACATGTCATAAAAAAACACACGCCATTTGGCGGTTACTGCCATAAGGTGAGGCACTGGTTGAGTGTCTGTGAGCCTGGGAACCAATGCTGTCGTTAGCTTTCTTGGGAAAATGTCAACAACTTTATGCACAGATCAAACCAGGGATGATATTTAGAAGCCTTTACATCAACTGTAACTCCATCACCCTTAGCCCTTTCGGCCAACCACAAACCAGCGGAGGTGCTCTCAGACTCACTGCTGGTACACTGCACAGAAACCTAGCAACCAGGTCCAGCCCTGAGGTGGAAACTGGATCTGCAGCTGGTAAAAAAAAAAACATAAATCCAACTGATAACTGAAATGAGTCGGTGAACTACAGTGAATGTGTCCCTCCAAACATAGCTGGGTGTAAATATGTGGCGCCACAGCCTCAGCAGCAGGTAGTCATAAGGCCCTGACGTGCAGCCCATAGATGTGTTAGCAGATGTGTTACTCACAGCCAACCCCCCCCTTCCCCTCCTCACCCTCCCCCACCTCACCCCCATCCCCTCATAAGAAAACCTCCTAGACACATATTTCAGTGTCTCCACATGGCTAAGAGACCATTAGGCTCAATTTAAAGGGCAAGACATTTTGGCTGCTGTCATCTTATGTCAGTCAGCCACAGGGACCGCGCCGTGGTTAGAAAGGGTTGTAAATAAACACCACACACATACAGGCCAGGAGCAGGGAGCTGCTGCTGCTGCTGCTGCTGCTGCTGCTGCCGGTGTTGATGGGGGAATGAACCACAGGTTTGAACCAAGTCTCCTTTCAATTACCCCCCTCTCCCTTCTTCCCAGCACCCCCACGATTGGACGATATAACCCACGACCCCAGAAGTCATCAGTTAGTCAGCAACTTTGTCCTCCTTCCTCATACACAAACAACAACAACAGCAGCAGCAGCAGCAGCAGCAGCAGCAGCAGTCCCACACACATCATCTAAATCTGCCTCACACTGTCCCCTGGCTCTGGTCAGGCCCAACTGGCGACAGCAGTGATGGAAAAAGTGAAGACATCTTTCTCTTAAAAGCCCCGGGGTCCCAGCAAACCCTCCCCTCTCCTGCTCTTCACCCTCTGTCTCTCCCCTGTCTGTCTTCTTCTGGAGTGAGGACCACACAGATGTTCCAAACCACATCCAAGCAGTCTGGCTGTGATGAGCACATTTGCACACAGAGTGTAAGTTAACAAAGTGCCAGCAGCTAAATGTGTCTGACTAGGGCCTAGGACTAATCAGTCTTAGACAAGGACCACTGGAACCGAAAGTGATGCTGCTTACATAACTCTGGTAGACCTATTAGTACACACAGGCCCACACTCACACATAATGGCAAATTATCACATGGAATATGGGATGAGCCGTTGCTTTGGAAACAGCGCGAACAACTCAATAGCTCTGGGCTGAGACTCTCGACTGTCAGCGGTAATACTTTGATCGCCGAGAAAACACGACAAAGAATACCAACGTTTGCAGATAGGCTTGTGTCTCAGAATCGCTGGTGAAATGAAAAAAAAAAAAAGAAAAGGTGAAGGAGAAAGCCCTGGATTAGGAATGAATTAGAGTCAGGAACAGCTTAAATGGAGTGATTCAGTGGAACTCCAGTGAATAAAGAGGAATATTACAAGAGTTACTGAATGCCACGTCCTCTTTGAGTAATCAGCCATCTTTACCAGCCTCGCAGACATCAATGCAAGCGTGTCTCAGCCCCTGTCATTTAAAACAGCTACTGTTTTAATGCACCAAAAAACTAGTCAAACCCCTCAATTACACTTCATGTGAATACTGAGTGTGTGTGTGTGTGTGTTTGTGTGTGTGTGTGTGGTGTGTGCATACTCATCTGCAGTCTGTGGTTTGGTATGGTTTGGCGGGTGTGGGAAAGTGTGGTTAGAGCTATACTCACACAAATAGCGGTTTTTAGTGTGAGCAGACAGTGAAATTCTCATTTTAAGACAACAACACAGTGTGTACCTCCAGGCTCACCATGGGCCAAACCACACAATGTTTAAATCATTTTGGCTTAATTGCTTTTTAACAAGGCTCCCTACTGCATTGACATTAGACATTAACACTGTGGGTGCTGAAAGCTTAAAAGCCTTAAAAGACTGGCATGTCTGGTCCTACACCGCTGCGTCTGACTCAGAATAACACAAGAAATGTTTTTGGAGAAAAAAAAAAGAAAAAAACATTTTCTGGACTCTATCGCCTCAGCATGGAGTGTCTCTCAAAAAGACGTTCAAAGGTTGTTTTTTCTTTTTTTTTCTCTCCAAAAATCCAATTTCATCCCCGAATTATTACGTCTCTGCCGCGTCTGGTGGCCCTTGCTGGCCCGCTACATGCAGGGCTGAGATACGATCTGACCCTGTAGCCATCGATAGAGCTGCGCGCGATACACGGTAGGCTACAAATACAGGACTTTGAGTCGTAAACCCCTTCATTACCAGAGCCAGACAGTGTGGAGCATATATTTTACTACACACCCAACATTTCAGATAGAATATAACCTTTGGGCGGGATGTACGACACTGAACTGCACTGCGTATGTGTGTGTTTGTCTGACCTGTCTGTCACTTAAACCTTACTTTGGGTTTTGAGTACATTTCCAAAATAACAATGTACAGCGTAGAAATTATAAAGCACTCAACATGTACAATATATGGTTATAGAAACCCTAAAAACATCTGAGATGACTTCTGAAATGGCTGCAAGTCAACACTCACGGTCCACAGAGGTTACAGCCCCACAAACGTGAAAACAAAAACATTGGGACACCGACCCTAATATCTCGGATCAGTCTGAGAAAGCAGCTCCCCGGATACTTACCACTGCGGTCATTTTGGGTCTATTTTAGTCGGGCATCGTCTCAAATAGCTGCAGGAAATGAGGAGATGATGATGGACTCTAGTCTCTGCCTAAGCACCGCTGTCCTAAAATAGGAGTGATCTGTTGTCCTCCGCATGTCTACAGGAGAAAGGAGAGAGTAGTCAGACTGAAGAAATCAGCAACAAATTGGCCATAAACAAATAAAGGTAATTCAGACAACAACATTTTTTTATGTAATACCGTTGTATTAAAAATCAAGATTTAATTAATATTTAATCCTAATAATGTATTACTGGGGGTTACTGGCATCCACCCAGAAAAAGCCACAAGAAAAGGTTAAGTTCAGAACCAATACAAAAGCTGTAAATTAGTTTGAGCTACTAATTAAAACGTAATATTATCCCCACTTCTGAAAAAAAAAAAAAACACCCACAAGAGACAAAAACTCCATTTCGCACGACCTTTAACGACTAAAGAGATTAAAAACCTTTATGTTACCTTTAATTATTCAGCGCCCAATCCTTTAAAGCCTTTTTTTATTGGCTCGTTCTGCCCGGAGCGAATGCAGCATCGCAGCTGTGAGTTTTAGGCGCCATCTTGTGGTCGAGAAAGGAATGTACCACAGGCGTGTGTGTATGTGTGTACCTGTGGCTCAATTTTAATGGCTTTTCTTTTTTAGATTTTTAAGATAAGATGAGGTTGAGGGATACGGAAAAAGGCGGTAAAAAGATGAAAGCATGTTTTAAGGAAATAAAATTATCACGCTGAAAAATCAAGATATAAAATAAATGTAAAGAAAATGAGAGAGCCCACCAAGTCAGGAATGACTATTAATTATCTGGCAATTAATGTGTGTTCTGGTTGTTTGAGCACTTTATAAAAAAAGATTGTTGCTTTATGTATGTTTTTTTTAAGGTTTCAGATGAGACATATATACTTTTAAAAACATCTACTTTACATCAAGCTTCAAAAAAGAGTAAAGTGTATTAAAGTATTCTCCCTGATACTGCCTCTGTAAGTGTACGATAAAAGATATGCATGAGGATAAAAATGCGGTTCGCTTACCAGGCACTGCACGGTGTCACCAGATGTTTTCTTTGGGACGTACGGCGGTGGTTCGTTTTCACCTGGAGGCCGTCTGGGTTCAACTCCATTTAACCAGCGGTGAAGCTGCGGTGCTGAAGAGCAAAGTGCGAGAGCCACATTGATTATAAGTGAAATGAGTGGCCCGCAGAGAAATCCGACAATGTCTATGAATTGGACTGGAGTGTGTTTTAATCAAGTCGGGGGTCCTTTGAGGAGCGCTGATGAATTTAGGATTGATCATGAAAGGGCAAAGCTCGCCGCTTGCATCACTTGTCTACCGCAGTAATGAACTATCAAGTGCTGCAACAACATCATAACTCAATAAGCGCTCTCAGCTGTGTAAGCACTCAAGAAAAGGGCACCGCGACGTGACAGTGGGCGAGTTCGTCTGGCAATTAAAAAAAAAGCCAAGAGGGGGAGGCGGATCCTCCCTCACCTCGCTCGCTTCTCATCTGCTGTTTATGCTGTTAGAACAACTTAATCCAGTCAATTTGATTCGTGTCAGGTGTTCAAAACAAAACCAAAACTGCATGCAATAGAGACGGGAGAGACGGGATGCTGAAAGATTCTGATTGGCAGCTGGAGGGGTTAGGATAGGAAGTACTGCCAAGCCATGGACCACAATTGTTACTTTACAGTGGTAGGGTGGTCGCCTCAGAGTAAGATGATCACAAATATATGCATTTAGTAGTTCAATGGTGTAGTGGTTATCATGCTTGCCTTACACACAGGAGGTCCTAGTTTCGAGGCCCAGAGGAACCACATACTTAATGGCGCCTCCTGCTGCAGCTTGTATGGGATGTGAAGACTCCGGGTGGGATTTGAACCTGCAAGTCTCTGATATCAGGCCGAAACTGATGGAGTTGTCCAGCATGTTGCCCTGGTGTGTACTCCAGTTTCCTCTCACAGTCAAAACAGCCAGTACTGAAAAGGAAATAAATGAATGAATGAATGAATGAATGACTCCCACTCATTCTGCCCCTCTAGATATATCTCCCCACTTTTACCTAAAAAGAAGAGCCTGCATTTCAAGTGAAAGATGAAGCAGAGTAAAGAGACGGTTAATGTTGTTTGTCATTTCTGTAACGGAGAGTCGTCCATCACGACAGTGCTCCAAAGTGCCTCGGCGATGACCTTCTCCATCTGCGTTCATTAGCGAATTCATTTTAGTGTCTGTTTTCACTGGAGGCGGTGAGAGCGCGCTCCAAAGTCCAGCTCGGACGACAAAAGCAGCGTTTCAGTTTTCTTTCAATAAAAGTTGACTATCCGGATAAACAATACACCGTGGTTCTTATAGAAAGCAAGATTTCGCAATCAATTATTTTAATCACTGACACAGTCGCTACTCGGTGTGGGCATAAAAACCCACGGCACACTTTCTGAAGCGGCTTTAAAAATTACAACCTGTGATTAAAGATTAAAGCAAAACAATTTCCCTGCGTGTCTGTTGGTTCCTAACGTTTTAACCAAACAGTGTCATTAGAAGATCAAAGCAGATGAAGCTGTACAATGTTTTTCCTTCCCAGGGAAAAAGACGAAGAAATCCACACAAATGCAAACAGCTCTGTCTGTGTTCTTAATGAAAATGGCCCGGTGCGCCCGCCTTTGTGGTGTTCATGTATTTTTTAGTATTTATACACGGCTTTTGGCTAAATATTTGAGTTCGTAGCTTTTTAAAGTTTCAACATCAGCACGTTGATGTAGATGAAAAAATAAAGCTCAGCGAGCCAGCCGAGGTAATCAATGATCAAATTTGTATTACTGTATGCATCAAAAAGTCCCACCGTGCACTTTGATTTGCATAAACCTGAACAATAATTTAAAAAATCAAAGTTAATGTTTCTGGTAATAGATTGCATTTCTGAGTGTTTAGAAATTACCCCAAAGAACAGCACCCTCTAATGGAGCTCCCCTGTAATAACTGTGCCTTTTCTCCCTATAACTATTCCCATCTGTTCTCCTGCTGGCCTGCCACAGGCATATATGATGTAGTTGGAGCCAGAACATAAATAAAGTCACAGCAGGTGTTAAGTGCCAGCTGTAATTCTACCAGTGGTTGTTGTGGTTTCATGTAATATGTTTTTTTTTTTTGTTTGTTTCTACCCATGCCTGTTTCTGCGGCGTTCACAGCCTCCACCTATTTAAATAAATATATACGTGTATATGTGACCCTGCACTGCAAGGCTGAGGTGAAATATGTTTTACTTCAGAGCGGGATTACGCTGAAAACACAATCCTGGCCTGCAGGGCTCGGCGTGTAATAAGCATAGGTGACAGACAGGAATTACGAGGAGTTTTTCTCCCTGCCTCCGTTTGGGATTTGTGATTATCTCCTTAAGAATGACTCATGGTTAGATCAACACGGAGCCCGCTGTAGGCCAGGATATCCTACATATATTAGCTAATCTAATGGGACAAACTCAAGAGGCCTGTCTGTGACTGCTGGAATGACAATGAATAACAGAGCTCCTGAGCAAATGGAAATGGTATTATTGTATTAGCTACTTGACTGAAAATTAAATCTGCTCATGTTAGGGCCCCCAGGTTCACAGACATTGAAAACTTTCACTTAGCAGCGACACGAAGGGCTAAGAGTGTTAGCTTCTGACACAGGTATTTCATATTATGTTACAGTGTTAATACTCGGACAAAATAATGACCATCACTTTGATATAACAATAATGGAAGGTTGCTTTTATTCTTCTCTTCCCTGAGAGAAACAACAACTGAAGTATGTCTCCGCTTCATTGATAGAGGCTGCTAAAAATCGTGCTCACAGCACCTTCAATACCAGACTCTGCTCTCACAGGCTAATTTACTGTACTACAAACACACACACAAGTAACACTATCATGCTATGGCAGATACCGGAAACACTATCTTGGCTTCCGTAATTTAACATTAAATCCCATAACAATAAGAGTCTTATGTGGTGGATTTAGCAGTACCCTGAAAACCAGTACCACAACAACTGAGTCTCAATAACACATTAAGCTTCATTAACATTAAGGTTCTGTGATTAGTCTTAGCTAGGGTGGCCACCCCCAAACCAACAAAATGCGGGACATGTAGCAAGTCTATAGTACCCAAGACATAACCTTAAACATAATCTTAATTCTTTCACATTCAACATAAAATAAGCAACAAAATATGACCTGATGTAAATCTAAACAATTTCAATGTAAATAAGTAAAAAACCAACAGCTCCTGTGTATTATATGGCTATCTGTGACAAAGTTATGAAAATAAAAAGCAGAAATAACACACGGCCGCTCAACTTTTTGCATTACAATCCAGCAGGTGGCAGGCCAACAGCACTATGATTAGCATTATGATTAGCATAATGATTAGCATGTTCCTGAAACACAAGCAGGCTATAACGAGATTCAATGGCCATGAATATATATATTTTGCATCGTTGTAGAACTCTGCATGGTAAACTACTGTAGTAATTTTATCTAACTAGTATCATACTGCACACTTTTGGGTGTTTTCTGTTGTGTACTTCGTGTGTGTGACTCACGTGCATTGTATCGTTTCCCATTCACGACGATTCACCACCATATCCGACAGAAAGGCCGTTTATTTACACAAACTTCAGAATGCCGGTTCAGAATCGGTACCGGTATCAACCAAACGGTGGCGTCTTCTTTTTTTGTCGGTACACTGTACATGGGCCCCTTTACAGTTTCAAAACAGCGCTTTACGATTCCAGACGCTAAAGTGTGTGCTACTGCGGCTAGTTAGCAGTTTGATTGACACACCAGTGAGCCTGTAAGCTAGCACCTTATCCACGAAGTCACCTATCATTGCTATAGACTCCACTGATAGTCATAGATATAGCCAGGTAAATAAAAATAGTTTATTTTCAATAAAGTAATGAAAAAGTGGGACAAAATGTTCAATTTGACGCGGAACGGAGGCTAAAATCGATGTGAAATACGACGTGAGGCGGAACAGGTGTTCACTCTAGTCTTAGCCTATTGTTCTCCACTGCGTATCCTGTTGGGTACAGCACCTCGTTAAAGTCCGTCAACTATTTTCTTACAGATTGTTCTCTGAACACTGATATTTGACACACATATTTGAATTATATATTAATTATATTATATTAACAATAAATCTTGAAAATCTGACAGGGGATCCAATAACAATGGTAAATTAATCTTGAAAATCTGACAGGGGATCCAAACATTTTAAAGTTTATTTATGATAAATTTATGATAAAGATATATTATTGGTTCTGTGTGTACTATCTTGATATTTAGAAGGGGGGTCGATAGATAGTTTGGTTAACCTTGGCCTAGTCGATGATCAGGTAAAGATCCACTGGTTGGAGTATTTTCTAGTCTGGAGAAACAGAAGGATAACATATTTGAGAAAGCTCTGTGCCTCAGTACGTGTTGTAGTACTACATCTACTACATCACAACACTGTCTGAGCTGGATGCACTGAGGAAACCAGGGGCCTCGGAAGACCAATTAGCATAGTGTAGAGACAGGCAGGGCTGTTGTTTGGTGCACACGTAGCACTGCTAACTTTGCAGACTCCTCTCGGTGCATGAATAATTACCGTGCATATAACCTTTGGAAATTTATGAATCTGTTTGGAGCACAGGCGCGGCAGCTTTTCAGTGTCAGGATTTACTTTCACGCAGGTCTATTAAAGAATTACCGTTGCAGAAAATGACTCCTCGTAAAGCAAAAGTGTGTCGAAACCTGTTGTTGAGGATGTATAAATACACTCAAATGACACCTGAGGAGCATCACTGACAAAGCTGCACGTGCACCACAGCTGCTGCGTACGTCGCTCCTCTGCTGTAGTACGTCTGCTGTCACTGTATTTACTGGGGCCGTCAAATTATTACAATCTTTCATTAGAATCAAGTCATTCATAATCCTGATTGTTCAGGATTGTAATTGGTCAATATGACTAGAAACTACGGTTTTGCCTGTATATCGCATGAACATTAAAAACAAATAACAGCAGGTAGTTATTATATCTAAACATGTCATAATGCAATTTGTATTCATTGGTCGTCTCTCGTAGAACCAAGTAGTCCGTCCTGAATTCTTGAGAGAGGTTGTGGTTTTTGGAGCCATCCCCAGCAGTCGTCGTTGACAACAGTTACCGAAGGGCAATGTTTTCCTAACCTTTCACCAACATAAATGTCACAAAAGAATATGTAATAAAATCTATTTTCTTGTTTCAACTTACTGTGTGCACCCGATCCTGTTTAGTTGAACACAATGACTGACTCGCAGGAATTGAAGAAATACACAAACGACGATGTTCTTGAACAGCTCCCAGACTCTTGGTTTCATAGTTTTTAAAGCCGCTGCCACATAAACGAACAAAGACAATTTATGATCAAAATAAGTGATAATTTTAAGAACATTTAAGTGAAATTTGATCATTTTCCACAGCTCACCTGATGATCTCTCACAGTACAGTAATGAGCCACAGCACAGTGGTTGGGATCAGGAATCAAGTTGCCGACGGATCCGCTTTTCCATCACGTTCCCCTATATATTTCATTGACCAATAGCAAAACGTTAAAATGTACTAACTTTAATCTCACACAGCCACAAAACTTCAATCTTTAACTCTGGAGATTTAATCTCATCAGACTGTTTCTCTTTTCTGAACTTGTCGGCATCTCTTGAGGTAATTGTAGTTTGCAGCAATACAGATTACTGCATTCCTTGCTTGCAAATAACCAGCGTGTACACACAGCCATGATGACAAATCACTGACAGTGAACAGCAATCAAACCCAGGCCGGGTTGAAAAACAGGTGTAGGTGTGCCATTTTATCTAATGTCAGTATTGTTCTATAAATATCAAATGAAAATACCAAGCTAATCCCATCTGAGGAGCTGTTGGCACGTACGCTCTCCCTTGCCTTTTATAACCACAGGGGTTCATCCATTCTTAATGCTGTTATTTAATTTACTAAGTGAAATGATCAAAGGATGGAGTGGAGGAAAAAAAAAAACCCCACATAACTCTGTGATAGATGAAAACACTCATTCAGAATGCCTATCTGTGTAGATTCTCATTCATCCAGGATTTGGAGTCAGAGTGCTTCCATTGTTTTCCCTAAGTCAGCCTTAATCCAATTCACCGGGCGAGTATCCCAAAAGAGATTTGTGGAGTACACTACGCCCTTGAGGTCACAAATGCATTTCGTATCTACTTGTAATTATTGCTCTCTCTGGATATCGCTGACAGTTTGAAATGTGGTATTATATTGGACAGCCAGTTTCATGTGCAAACAGCAAAACATCTCTTGATGAAAAATACAGCGGTTTTTTTTTTGTTGTTTTTAAAGGTGAACATGACAGTTAGATCCCTCCTTCTGTTTCACTCATCCATTAAATCCTCAACAGTCAGAGTGGACACATCCTTGACCGTTTAACAGTCCATCACATCACACTCATGCTTACCCCATTTTGACATCACAAATTTCTGGCGACCCCCACAGACTTTTTTTTTTTTTAGACTTACTTGTTGCTAATACACAGTAGCCAGGTTTTTGCACAGTGTGTGTGTGGTGTTTTAAATCATAATTAAAAAAAAAAAAATAACAGTAATTATTTAAAATATATTTCTATCAGTCATTGTCTTTATGTATTACCAGCTATTTCAAGTGACCCAATTTGAATTCCAGGTGACCTCACATGGGGTCGTGATCCCAAGATTGAAAAACACTGATGTTTAGAGTGTTCGTCCAGATATTTCTTGCTTACTCAACTGTTGGGGAATGGGGTCAGAAGGTGCTGAAGAAAATGTCAGCTGTCGGAGGGCCAGGGGGTAGGGAGGAGGGCAGGGAACAGTTCACTTGTAATTGCCAACAAATTATGCTCACATTCACCTTCTTCCTGTCACGTTTTGTCCCTTAGTGCAAAACAAAACAAAAAGTCTTTTCGTTTCTTTTATCCTGCTTTTTCCCTGACAACTTCCATCAAGAAAAATTTCACTCTGGGCATTTAACCCACCTGTGAAATGCTCCAGTACACAGGAGCAGTGGGCTGCACTTAAGGAGCCTGGGGGGTGTTTTTTGATCACAAGCCAGAAGTCCTTATGGGATTCGAACCAGCCATCCTTGCCTGTGGGTCAGAGTCACAGGTTCATCCGGTTTTTTTTGGTTTAGACATTAAGCATGTTTCTTCCCTTCATCATGACTCATGCATTTTGAATCAGTGAAGTTGCCAGACTGATGTTATGATTTCTGACAAGTCGTGATGTCATTTATTATTTAACACAGTCTGAGGATTTGTTTTGATCCTTCAGGACACCAGGCATGTAGGAGCGAAGGCAAGGTTCCATTCCAACCTAATATAAGCAGCCTTTTAAAGCCACTCCGGTTTGGCATGCAGTTTCATCTCTACTGTGACCATCGACCAATGCATTTTTCTGAGAACCTAATAAGGATTGCCTTGTTTTGACTGACGACAGGTCACTTTTTGGAACCGTTAAACATCCATTTTGTATCTTCTCTGTATTTAAACAGCTTTTTTTTCCTTTTGGTAGGGATCTCCGATATTAACTTTTTGCCGATATCCAATATGCCAATATTGACACTTAATTTCCGATTCCAAAATGAACCAATACCGATATTATCGGACATCCTTACTTTTTCGTTTTCGTTAAGGCAGGTCAAAATGTGCACCACCACCATCATCACTGCACACGTCCCGCAGGCTATTGAGGACACAGAGAATATCCATAACCCCATGTTTGGTGACATGTCATTGCTCTTCTTTTATGTGAAGGCCCACTGCTCAAAGACCTCATTCTGACAGACCAGTCTCTGCACACATTGTATTTTTCATGAACCACTGCTGGGTTCTGCTTCTCTGAGGTTCCATGTACTCAGCTTTTATCCACATTATGGTCTCAAGGGCTGCATTTTTTTTAGTTCATGAAGTTTTGACCACACCATGACGCACTTCGGCACTTTCAAGTCCATGTTTGAAATATTGTTAAACTTGAAGGTGAATGTCTGCAGTTAGGTTTCAGAAAAATGAAAAAAAAAAAGAACCCTAACAGAAAAAAGAAAAAAAAAAAAAAAAAAAAAAAGGAAAAGGTCTTACAGGTGAATTATGAAAAGTAGTACATAGAGTACTTTTATTTATAGAATACTTTGGAGCCTCCTGTTTTATCAATAAACTGTAAATCTGCATCATACAACAAGCTTGAAAATATATATTTTGTATTTACAAACAACAGACCTATATGTCACCCTGTAATTACAGCAACAACAATGACGTCATGGTTTTAAACCGAATAATCGACTCTCTGTTTCAAATTAGACGAAAATAATTTCCCTAATTTTTGTTCAAATATATTTTTGTGGGATTCTAACTTAAACTATACAATCTGAATCATAGTTGTTTTCCTTTTGTTTTAAATGATTTTTAGCAAAATACGATTTTGTTTTTCTTTACAGTCTATTTAATATGATGAATGATTAATCATAAAATTATATTTAAGAAATTAAATAAATAATTCTTTTTGTGAACTGATTCAATATTTTTTTTTAATTTGCCCTTTCAAATCGACCATTAAAGGTTTTCTATAAGATAAACTTTATATAAAAAAAAGTGGGTTAAATAAAATTCAAGTTACCACCACGGACAGTGAGAGCTTTCCTAGATGAGGCGCACAACCTTTTTTTTTCCTATAAAAGAGAGAGAAAAAAATGACTGACAAAACGAAAAAAAAAAAAAAAAAAATCTGATAAGTTAACAGCCATCAGTCAGAGTTTTGTCATTGGTATATGCAGGTTGTTCCAGGGTCCCATCCAAAGCTCCTCCTCCTCTGACAGCGTGTGGTCGCTGTGGTATTCCAGTGTCTCTCTGCTGCTCCTGTAGTTATCCACAGAAGTCTCTTGCTCCCCCGTGACACTGGGACTTAAGCTTTTTTTGTCATTCAAGGCCTTGCCAATACTGGTTTTGGATCCAAAGCTCTTGAGCTCCTTAAAGGCAGAATGAAGGGAGTCACAGGAGGACCGAGTGTTGAGGTTGACGTCAACACCAGAGGGGATGCATGTACCTATCCCGTTATTGGTGGTGCTCCCCGAATCTTCGGAGCCTATCACGGTCGGAGGTTCTTCGTGAGTCACTCCTAACTTGTCTAATTTTTTAAACTGCTTACCCAGGCGACACGGAGACCCCACCTTTGAGTTGTTCGGCTGCAGCAGCCGTCTAGTTCGGATGATGGTGCCGTTTTGTGCAAGGTAGATGGTTCCGTTAATGTTGGTGTTGGCAGGTCTGTTCCACTGCATCTCTGTGGTGCTCTCCTCCCCTGTGGAGCTGGTCTCATTCTCCCGATCTACCACTAGCTTGATCCGCTTCTTTTTCCCCGCCTGAGGAGGAAAACATGGGTTACGGTAAATAACGTTTCCTTTAAGCGGAATAAATTATCACTAGCGTCTCCACGCAGCACAGCAAACGGCACGACACTTCATGGTTTTGGCCCTTAGGAAAACTTAATCATTCATTGAAAGGCACCGTTGTTTCAAAACTATAGAAACGGTGACACAGCATTTCCTGAAAGGGAATCGGAAGGAAGAGAGTTAGATAAAGACAGACTCCACCACAACAGAGGGAATATCAAGAGCACCGTGTGATACAAAAAGTAAAGGTGTGAAAACACACTCAGAGAAGAGTAAAAAACACCGAAAGATAAGAGCCAGTCAAAGATGTGAGACAGAAAAACCCTCAAGATTTGCAGCGGGAAGCTCTATTCTTTTTGGCTCAAGGGAACTCAGATAAGGAGAATGTTTAAGTCAGTGAAGAGGCAAACACTATTTCACTCCCATGCAAAGGCAATTGATTCTTTTCTCTCTTACTTCAACGTATATCACAGCATTTTTTTTTTGCCTTTTTAGAAGGCGGTGGAGTTCCCCTCAGACTCTGCGTCTGACGTTGTCCCTGTTCCTCCAGTGCCGCTGCCTGAAGATCTGTCAGAGGAGATGGCGTCCTCGTCCACCTCTGTGATAGGAGACAGTCCACCGTATGTCTCCAGAGAGGTCTCGCCCATGCTTCTGACCTCAGAGCCGTATGGGGGGGCAGTGTAAGAAGTGGAGGGCCCCGGGTCACCAGATGCAACGCTGGATCCGCTGGATATGGCATCCTCACTGACGGAGTCTTTACTCCCCTCAGAGTCCTCCTCCTCCTCTTCGTCTTCTTCGCTCTCTTCTGTGATTGTGTCTTCAGATCCACGACTCAGCATAGACTTTTTCGAACGCTGGCTGCCACCGGTGGACTTAGAACCAGCAGAACTCCCCTGGCTGCCCAGCGAACTCTGATCAGTCATTTGGCTGCCAGAGATTGAGCCACCACTGGACTCAGGCACGGACGTTTTTCTCTGGCTGGACCCACGAGACGATACGTCTTCACTGGCCGACTCGGCCTCGCTGGCTGTCCCTGACCCCGACTCTGCATCACTTGCCGTCCCTGTTCCTGATTCCGCCTCACTGACTTCCTCGCTGGACTTTTCTGTGCTCGCCGATGTTTGCGTTCTCTGTGATGACCTGGCGCTTGAATCACCACTGCGACCAGTGCCACTTTCACTTGCACTCTCACTTCTCCTGCTGCTGCTCCTACTACCGCTACCGCTACGACTGCTGGCCTCGGTTTTTGATGATCTTGTAGAAGAGCGGACAGAAGAGCCACTTTCTTCAGCACTTCCTGA